CCCCCAGCCCAGCGGTTCTGGAGCAAGCAGCCCCCTTCCCCTGGAGTGGACCCAGGTGGCCACCTTCTCTCTGCCGGCCCAGCAGAAGCGCCCCTTGCCCACAGGCCAGGGTGAGGTTTTGCTTTCGGGTCAGCTGCCGGGCAGGCAGGTGGGGCTGAACTCAGAATAACTCAGGCTTCCGCGGTCTGCAGGTCGGAACCTTCTGCCTTTCCACAGCCCCTCCCCCTGGCTGCCCTCGAGCCCACAAGCCCAGGTCAGAGGCTGGGGGTGGTGCCCGGAAGGTGCCCACTGGGGACATGAGGCACACTGTCCATCCAGTTTGGGTTCCCACCAGGGCCTGTGTCCCAGTGTACCCCAGACACACACCTTTACCGGGCCGGCCACTCAGCTGCCCCTGTGGGGCCTCTGCCAGGGTGGGCAAGCAGCCCCCAACCACGCCCTCCGACCACCCACTCCTGCCCTGGCCCCAGGAAGCCCACGACATAGGTGCCAGACCAGAGGTCACTGCCCAGTGGTCAGTAAACCGCGTTTCTACTTTCTGGGGAGATAACCAACTCTACCCCCCACTAGCCCCCCGCCAGCCCAGCACAGGGCTGCAGAGAGAGGAAGGCGACAAAGGCCCTGGCTGACCAATTCCAGAAACCCGGCGGTGGGCGATTTATCTCAGAATCAGTCACTCGCTTGCCTGTTTCACAAGGACTCCTATAAAAAGCCAGGGAGCACCCAGGGGTCCATGCTGCCCACCCCCAGGCCGGGGAAAGGCGAAGGACCAGGAGGGGGACCCACTGCCACCCAGGAGGAGGCTGAGGCCCACCGCTCGCCAGGGGGCCTCCTCCCTCTGATCCCAATTCAGAAATGCCCTCCCCGGGCCCTGCACCTTTAAATAAACACAGGCGAGAGCTGCTACTGGGCGCACATGCGGCTTTGGGGCCTCTGCCTGCACCGAGGCTCGGGGCCCCGCCCGCGTGACTAGAAATTGCTTCCAAGTGTCTGCGGGTCTGGGAGCCATTCTCCACCCAGCCCTCCGTGACCCTCCGCCCCCGCCCCCAGCAGTACTGGGGGGAGACCCCGAAGCCCCTCACTACCCTGCGCGTCCCGGGAGCAGCCGCCCCAGCCGGCCCTGCCACAGGCCCACCACCCACAGCAGGAACCTGAACCAAAGCAAACATCCTGCCCACCAGGCCTGCTCGAGAAATCATAATAAAACCAGAATGAGCCCATCCTCCTGCGCAGGTGGGGTCCGCTCCCACCTCTCGGGGAGCCCTGGTGGGCCCTCGATCCTGCCTGTCCCGATGGCCCGTGGGCACAGTGACAGTAACACGAGAACTGCCCCCTGCCCGGCCAGGGGGAGGCTGCGGGGTCACCCCCAGGACCTCCACATGAAAGAGCGGAGCCCAGCAGGCAGGTTCGCCCGGACACTCTGTGGACCCTTTTCCCACGGAAGCCACCGTGCAGGGCTCAGGGCGCCAGGTGCTCCAGCTGGAAGGACGGTAGAGACCGATGGCCCAGCCCCATCGACGCTCGGCCTCACTGTCCAACAAGGTGACTTCCCCCCGAAACACAAC